AAGAATAAAACAAAGCATTAGTAAGCCACTGCCAAACATCAATGAACCTTCCAAAGATCCCTGCCACGAGCTTAAGGAGAATATAGCAGAACCCAATATCTAATCTAATAAAACAGAACCCTTTGTACACAGCCAATGGTGAAACAACACTGTAAACAAACTACAAAACAAATACATCAAAGACTCACGACATCAACACCAGCTCACTAACAGCAGCAAAGAGTAATGGACTCGGGACATCGAACGAAATCTTGAGCAACATGGATTAGCAACGGCCATCGATAATGCCCCCAAACACCTATCTGTAACAGAAAAATGTTGAAAATTTGATCCAACGAAAAAAAGCAGCCATTAAACCTAGCTTTGTTTCGACACAACCATAATTTCCAGATTATACCAAAAAATCCCAATTGCCAAAGAGGTCTAACCTTTTTCCTAATATTTTTATTAAACCAAACCAATAACAATTCTTTAACGTTCATAGGAAACACTAAGTTTACCTTCCACAAAGAACACCATCTTTGCCACACTTTCCAAACCACATCACATTGACACAGAATATGGATAACAGTTTCCTTTTCCCGATTGTAGAAAATACAGAGTGTCTGATCGGTACACGGGACTCATCTTTTTTCCAGTTCTGAAATTGCAGGTAACCGATGATGCACAGCTTTCCAAACGAAACCCGAGAATTTAGGGGGGATAAATTTGCACCACACTTATTTCCAAATTGAGTCTTCCGCCTTACCAACACAAGCCAACTTAGTACAATATGATTTAGGAGTGTAGATCCCATCATTAGAGCATAACCATTTTAATCTATCCACACCTTGCACTAAACTAACTGCTCTATTCAAAACTTGGAAAAATTCATCCCACATAGCCCTTTCCCAAGCGAACAAGGATCTTCTAATTTCAAACTTCCATTCCCAAGCTCCAAGCACCCAATGACCGAACTCGCTTAACTTTCTGACTTTTTTAATTGCCAATCCAAATAATCTAGGAAAAGAAGCTTTTAAGGAAGGAAATTCAGTCCAATGATCTGTCCAGAATTTAATATTTTCACCATTACCCATCACACAACAAACTTCAAAAATAAAATCAGCACCATTTACCACTGTCGGATTGACAATGTTGCGCCAAACCCATGATGAATTCCTAACATTAACAGTTTTAGGAAGTAACGAGTTCTGATCGTACTTGTACTTTGCTGCAACAATATTCCTCCATAAACTACCGCCTTCCTCACTGAATCGCCATATCCATTTATTGAGCAAAGCACGATTCTTTGAAATCACATCGAATATACCCAAACCCCCATGAGATTTCGGCCCACAAATATTATTCCATTTTATCCAATGAATACCTCTATCGTTCTTACCATTCCAAACAAAGTTCGCTATACATTTATTAATTTTTCCGGCTATGGACTTTGGAATTTGGAAGATGGACATATAATACACAGGAAGATTAATCAGAACTGATTTGACCAATGTTAATCTACCTCCAAAAGAAAGAACTTTGCCTTTCCAACTATCCAAACGACTTCTAATTTTTTCCAGAATAGGCTGTCACATTGAAATGGAATTCTTTTTAAGACCCAAAGGGAGCCCCAAATACGTCGTAGAAAACTTTACCCAATCGCAGTAGATCGAATATGCCCACTTTTTTACAGTATTCTCATCCACGTTGATGCCAAAAATCTTGGTCTTCATTCTATTCAGCTTAAGTCCTATAGCTACTTCAAAAAATTTTAGAACTTGATTGAGATTCTGGATCCATCTACCATTTGCTTCCAAAAAAATGAGAAGATCGTCTGCAAATTGAATGTGAGACACACCAGCTCTTCCATCCCCTACTGTGATACCAACACACAATCCAATAGCTTCTGCTTTTTTAATCAACCCACTTAGCGCCTCTCCCACAATATTAAAAAGAAACGGTGACAATGGGCAGCCTTGCCTCAAGCCTCGTTTAATTGAGAAACTAGAAGAAGGACAACCGTTGACTAACACATAAATTGAAGGAGTTGATATGCAAACATTAACCCATTTCCTCCATCTAGTCCCAAAGCCCATTTTCTTCAGAATCAGATTCAAAAAATTCCAGTCAACAGTATCATATGCTTTACTAAAATCAGCCTTAAACAGAATTGCTTCTTTCTTGCTTTTTACCAAATCAGCAATAACTTCGTTAGCAATTAAAATACAATCTGTATTCTGTTTTCCAGCAATGAAAGCAAACTGATTATCGCCAATCACTTCGCTAATACGAGCAGCCATCCGTTTTGCCAATACCCGAGTCACAATCTTGTACAAACTGCCCACCAAGGAGATTGATCTAAATTCTTCAGGGTACACTGCATCAGTTTTCTTTGGAATTAGAGCAATATACGATTTGTTGAACGAGAATTCTTCTACTCTACCCCAATAAAAATCGCACATGAAATTCATTACATCACCTTTAATGTCCATCAAAATTTCTTAAAAAAATCCATGCTGAATCCATCCGGGCCATGAGCTCTAGATCCGTCTGACGAATTTATAGAATGCCAAACCTCTTTTTCAAAAAATGGCCTTTCGATAATCCTTCTAGTAACAACGTTTAATCTCTTAAAAGGAATATCTAATTTTTTCACTGGCAAGGTCTTCACATCGTTGTACCCGAGACTGAAATAATTAACAAAAGCTTGTTGGATGCCAATCTGATTCTTGAAGACTGTGTTTTGAACCTTTAATTTCGTGATCTGATTAAATCTTCCTCTTGCAGCAGCTGTAAGATGAAAAAACTTAGTATTTTTATCACCTTCTTTGAACCACTGTAGTCTTGATTTTTGAAGCCATTCAAGTTCTTCCTTTCTCAACGCAACCCATAATCTTGCCTTCGAAGAGAGAAGTTCATTTTGAGCTGAAAAATTGCTGGGATTCAAAATACACAAATTCTCTAAGCTGTCAATTTTTTTTCCGATCTCTTCCACCGAATCTGACTTATTCTCCCGAATTACCGCTGCCCATTCTTTTGTCACTGATTTAGAAACCGTCAAAATTTGGAGCATACCTTTGACTTTATTTTCTCCACAAGCATACTTTATTTTTTGGGAAAGTATGGGATCATTAGCCCAGTGGTTGAACCATTTAAATGGTCGAACGAACCTTTTTAACTTCTTTTCCTTGAGTATGATTGGCTTATGATCCGAAACAGTTCTCGGTAGAGTCAATTGCAGCATATGAGGAAACGAGCACAATATTTCAGAAGAAATCAGGAATTTGTCCAGCCTACTAACAGCCACATTTTCACCTCCCCTAAACCACGTATACAAACCACCCAAAATCGGGACATCAATCAAATCCCTACTATAAATAAATTCTTCGAATAAACTCATGGCAGTCGAGTGATCAAAGGTCCCTGTTCTTTCCGACACAAACCTTACTGTATTAAAATCGCCCCCACAATAACAGGAATGTTAAGGATTTCTATGATGTCATTTAAATGTTGGAAAAAATTTTCTCTATCACTTTGCAAATTCGGGCCATAAACATTGATGATTCCAATTTCTAAATTATTCGACAGAAGCAGGCCTTTTAGAATAATCATTCTCCTATAAATATTCCTCATGCTAACACAGAATATATTAGGATCCCACAAAGAAATGAGACCCCCTGAAGCACCCTCGACATCCGCTGAAACCAATTCAAAACCTCTCCTACCTTTCAACCTTCTTTCCAAAGATACTGGAATTTCAGAAACTTTAGACTCCTGAAGCATTACCACACTTAATTTATTACCTTCAATGACCCGGTTGAGAACTCTAATTTTCTCAGTTTTACCCAACCCTCTGATGTTTCAAGATAACAACGCTAAACCAGAATCCATAAAAGAAAAGACTCAAATGAAAGATACTAGATCGACCAGTTGGATCAGTTTTTAGACTTACCCGACCGCTCGATCAGCTCCACTTTATCTAGCCCCTTCTTCCCCGTCGCTACAACATTAACTTTCCCCGGTCTGCTCCCAGTAATTGCAACATCGTGAACTTCATGATTCAATGTGCTGCTAGAACTGATCACACCACTCTTGGCCTTCACGTTCACCTTCCTCCTTTTTAAATTGTTATTTCTCTTAGGTAATCGATCTCCCACTTTTCTCGCCCCCTTCTTAACTGATTTTGATGAATTCTCAACCGATGCGAGGAGCCTTACTGAAGTATACTTCGTCAGTTTATCAGAATTTTCAGTCCTTGTTTCTGCCGAACAAAAAGTCGGGATTTCATTCTGCTCCAATTGATGAATCACAGTCTCTCTCGACGCTGAGAATACTACACCCAATGCCTCACCCACAGAAAAAGTTACCACAGATTAGTTATCTTACCCCAAACAATCAGGTTTGTTCCCCTCCGCAACTGATCCACGAACAGCCTCCTTCCTCGAACTTTTTTTTAATGTCCTGCTTTTCAATCTGCCTCTCTTCACACTCAAATTTGCACCCTGATCAGCCCTCAAAAAATTAACATTATCTTGTGATTTGAAAAATCCTGGATAGGCATCAGGGAATTTGCCGTATCACACTCGTACGAAATAGGAACTTGGCCCTCAACACCTTTTCTAATTGAGGAAACCTCTTCAATGTGAATATCCATTAGTCTTGAACTATTGGACACATACTGGGTCTTCCACGGTTGATCTGGCTCTCTATTTAGTTCCATGAGCCCAACGCTTACATCCACTGGTTGATTTCCAAACCAACATCAAAATAAATTGGGACATCATGCAAGATCTCTACGTCCTCAACACTCATTTCCACCTGCCTGTCCACGTGCCCCCTACTAGCTGCTCTCAACCCAAAAACATTCTCACTCCTCTGACAAAGCACAACATGCGTATCAGCCCCATAATATTCTGCCTGGGCATCTTCTCTATCAACATGCTCTTCTTCAGGCAAAGAAAACTCACCTGCTTCATCTACATCTTTGCACCACGCTCCGCCATTAGCCATTACTCCGTCTAAGAACACTCGAGTTTCTTCTTGAACTTCTGTAGCAATTTTATTGGAGAAACTCTTCCATTGAAGACAATGAAAGCTCTCTCTGGAACGTCCGAGACATATTGAACTTCCATCAAAATCTTAGCTACATCAAACCTCCTCCGATCACAGGTATCTTCATCAATCCGCATAACTTTGCCCCACCGGCTTCCCAAATCCATGAAAAAATCCTTACTCCACACAGCTAAAGGCACATCAAATAAATGAATCCAGACTTTAATTTTAACTTTATTCTCATAACCCTCCAACAATTCCAATTCGTCGAACCAGCGATGAAGCCGTTCCTCTCTATTAAACCAGCATTCCTGACGAACGACCTCATGTTGGAATTGAATTACTACCAGTAAGTCATGACAAATACTAACCTTAACATCGTACCCTTCTGCGCAAAAAGCTGCTTGGATTATGTCTTCATTGAACATGTTTTTAATTTTCCCTACCAGACAAGATTTTCGCCATGATACCTCCTTCTCCTTAATGCAAATAGTCGTGTTTTCTTCTCCATTTGTAGATTCTTGCCTTATATATTTTCCTTCGTCAATCATAAGATGAATCACCTTATCCAGTCTAGATGACAAGGAGTGTTGAACATTATCAACATTATCAACATAATCTACTTTCCTCCCTTCGGCAGACTGCAACCCTTCGAGAACTTCCTTAAACGACCTGGAATCTCTTAACGATGGCTTCCACACTTTCTTAATAGAACTGCCATCAACCGCCCTTTCGACCTCTACAACTCCTTTGTTGTCATGAAAGACTCTGATCTTAAAACCATCTATAAATCTGCCATCATCCTTACAAACCGCTTTGTCTGCTTCAGATTTATTTCTAAATCTAACAAAAGCAAATGTAGAACCAACTAATAGTCTCATTCTACTTCTATACGCTATAAAAACGTCTGTCACAACTCCATAGGCCTGGAACGACTCCTTGAGGGTTTTCGAGTGAATTCTTTTACTCACATTGTTGACAAACATGATATGCCACTTCGGGACTTGATAATGCCACTCCACTAGAGAAGCTCTACTTTTCTCCACTGGTGAAACTCTTCTCTTCGCCATTGTTATGTTATTATTGATTCCGTTCAACATTTGAAGTAAGGATTAGCACCCTTGTACTGCCTTTTCGGTACCAATTTGATTTCCTGGTTGTCTTAATTGTGAAAATTACAATTGAAATTAAAACTTCAAAAATTCGATCTGAATTACTTACCTTTGACCAATTTAAAACTGCCCAAAAAAAGGTAAAATTAATGTTAAGCAATAAAATAAAATAAAATAAGCATTAAATTTAAAAAAAATAAAGAACGATTAGATTGAAAAGAATCAAAAGATTAGGTGTCAAATTGATGCTAAATGAAAGCTGCAATGAAAAAAATAAAAAGTTAGGGGGTTAATTTGCAAAATATAAGAAATATAATCAGGGATTAAATTGAATTAATTCAAAATTCAAGGGTAAAATTACAACATGTGACCAAAATGAACTACACATCAAAACTATAAGGACTGCGGAAATAATTTAACTATTTCATAATTGCACAATGACTCTTCCTATAAATAGCCCTTAAATAAAAGAACATTTTAACCATTCTCCCAAAAAAAACTCTCCACTCTCTCTCAATTTTCTCAACCTCCCATCAACTGGCCATATGCCGACCACGTCTTCGCCGCCCGGACCACCGCTGACCGCCGCTCTGACCACCAGCACTGGTAGTCGAAAAACCTAAAACCACCCCTGAACACTCCTCTCAACACCTTGACACCGAATCTAGGTCCTAAATTTCCAAAATCAACCCCAAACGACAAAGATATAAAAAAGAAACTCTCAGTTTTTTTTACCTTTTTCGATGATGTCCTTTCATCTTCCGGTAGCTCTTCCTTTCCCGACGAGGCTTCTACCTCGTTTCTGGCATCCTTCGATGAAACAAATCTTTGAGCTTTATTTTTCTTTTGATTTCGAATGTTTTTAATTTTGGGCTTTCGTATATTTGTTGTGTACTGCTTTTTGGTGTTCTTCCCTTCGATGGTTTTCGTGGTTTTTTTTTGTGTTTCTTGGTTGCTTTGATTGCTCAATGGATTTTTCTCGTGTTATGTGATACCTTTTGTTCGGTTTCTCTTGGTTTTATTCGTGTTTTGCTTCGATGGCTTTTGGGGTTTATATAACACCCCACCGGTGGTTGTTTCCGAGTATCTTGGGATGGTGCAATCCTGTTTTCCGATTTATTCGGGCCGGTTTGCTGTTCGTGTTGGCGGGAAATCTCGAAAAAAAATCATTATTCCTGATTTGCTCTGATTTTACGATTTTCCATTTTTGGGTGCCGAAAATCTCGGTCGGTTGGTAACCTTGCTGGCGTGTGGACTCCACGCGCCATTGGTTGGTTATCTGATACATTTTCGACTGTTGGATAAAAAGGCCAGATCCAACGACCCTGGTTGATTGCGGCGCCGATGTTAAGTATAAAACCCTAGCTTGTTGGGTCAGGTAGCTTAGGCTTCTCGCTGGGTTGGCTTGCTGGTTCAGGACTGCCTACCTGGTTGGGCTTCTTTCTGGACCATATTGGACTATAGATTTGGACTTGGTCCTTAAATAAATAAATTAAAATAAAAGTAAATAAAAATAGATAAGAAAAAAGAAAAGAAAATACTATTAATAATATATAATAATATGTATATATTAAAAACTATATAATATATATTATATTTCAAAAACAATATAATATGTTTTCAAAAACTATATTATATATTTTTAAAAACTGTATATATTATATATTTTTTAAAATATTATATATATATATATATATATATATTATCATATATACTATATAATATAAAAATGTACTAAAGACCTTTGAAGTTCTGGACGAAAATAAGTGTCTATAGTTCCCTTTGGCAGAAATGAATGATAAAAAAAATTTCTTTTGAGAGAAACATCATGCGAAGAAGAAGAAGAAGAGAGGGAAATATGATTTGATGCCTTCGACTGGCTAACTGGAAAACTGCTTTGGAAGGAAAAGGTCTAAGGATCAATATTGAAAAGACAGCGTATTTATGTTCAAACTTCAGTGGGAACCAAAACGATGAAGATGTGGAAGTATGCATCGAAGGACACGTTCTCCCCTCAAAGGATTGTTTCAAGTACCTGGGGTCTATGATACATAAAGATGGGGGTGTAGATGATGACGTTACACACCGTATAAAGGCGGGATGGCTAAAGTGGAGGGCTGCAACTGGAGTTTTGTGTGACAAGAAGGTGCCTCTAAAACATAAGGGAAAATTTTATAGAATGGAAATAAGACCAGCGATGTTGTATGGATCAGAATGTTGGGCAATCAAGAAGGATCACGTAAGGAGGATGGAGGCCGCAGAAAGGAGAATGCTTCGATGGAGATGTGGTAGGACTCTGTGGGACATGACAACAAGCTCTGCCATTAGGATGTCCATGGGGGGTGGTGTCTGTATCCGAAAAATTGAGGGAGGGAAGACTACGGTGGTTTGGACATGTCCTTAGGCGACAACCGTCGGATGCGGTCAGGAGGGTAAAGTCGATTACAGTCGACGGTGTTAGAAGGAGAGGACGACCAAGGAGGAAGTGGGTAGACTGCTTGAGATCTGATTTGAAGGATTTAGCCCTTACCGAGGACAGGACCTCTGATAGGAAAGTATGGAGACTTAAGACCAGGGTAGCCGAGTAGTGTGGGTCATAGCTATAGGATGTAGCATATATGTCTTCTTTTTAATGCCTTTGTAGTAATTTCCATGACTCCTACTTTTTATATGTTTCTGTCATTGGAATTTATGTAGGCGTAGAACTAGGGTAGCGGAGTAGTGTTGCCTTAGTTTAGGTTTTAACCCATTTGACTGTATTCTTTCTCGTAGCTTGCTATAGCTGACTTCTGTGTAGCATTCTCTTCATGTTTCCTCTTTTTAAATTTAGTCGGGACTTACGTTTATGTCTATAAGCAGAGATTTTTACGCAGAGATTTATTTGCAGGGATTACTTCCCATTACATACACAATATGAAGACTACATATGAAGACTGTTCAACTATGTATTTATTGATTTATTTATACATGCATTGTATTTTATCTTTATTTTTAATTTTCATACTGCCAGAGGTCTTCCACGGAACCTGCTCTCAACCTGGCGTTGGGGGCAGCCTACTACCCCACCTCCCCCTTATCCCATTGCATATGAGAATAGGGTTTTGTTGTTGTTGTTGTTGTATTTTTAATTATTGAAAAAATGTCAGGTGACATTTAACGGTTTGTCATGATTTGATCCAAACTGAATTACAGAATGAAACGTTAGACACCAAACTAAAACGAAAAAAAATATTAAACATCAAGCTAGGAAAAAAAACATTCTTTGGATACCTTTTTTACGTTTAAGCCTTTGAAAAACAAAAGTGGTTTGCTCACAGTGGATTCATGTAGGACCCAGTTGCTTTACAAAGGGAAATATCCTTGCCCTTGGACAAAAACAAAGAAAGTTCCTAGCCATGCAGATCAGCGGGGTCAACAAATCCAAAAGTAGAAGACCACGGCAGTTAGAGAATTGGATAAATGATTATATGTTTTGTACTTGTTTAGTTAGTGATAAAAATGATTTTTTAAAATTTATTTGTTGTGTTTTTTAATTATTTCATATATTATATATTATTATTATTTATCTAGTATCAATATTATTCTTCCTACAGTATTAATATATTATTATCGTAATATTAATTTAAGTATTGATATTGTATATCAATATCAACTTTTGCTAAAAATCCCAATTTTTCATTTTTACTCAAACCTAAAACGCCATGCCGCCGTCGAGCCCCCTTCACCCCTCTCCAAAATCAATCATTTTTGGGTCGATTCTTCACTGATTTTTCTCTCCTAATCTTGCATTAGTCATCAATCTAAGTACTCTCGTCCTTTTCCTCCTCAAAACATAAATTCAAGGTAAACTTTTCTTAAAACTTGTTTTTGTTATCTTTCAAAATTTATTATTCTTACGTTAAATTAGTATGAAATAATGATTGACCTTGATTTTAATCCTATTTTCGTGCATTAATCTATGCATATAATATATAAATTTTACAAAATATTCAAGAATTTTGAAAACCTAAATTTTTGAATTTGGAATTTTTAACTATTTTAGTTCATTGTTTAAAGATATATATATATATATATATATATATATTTGATAGAAAGTCGCTAGTTTAATTAAAAATAGAAAATATTTAGATTTACAACGAAGATTTACAAGCATAACTGTAATCGTAAACTAAATTATAATTAGGATATTTTCCTATAACCATTGACACAAAAACTAGCCACGTAGATCAAAAGGACCAAAAAGAGAAAAGACTAAAAAATCTAATTAATGCTCGAACGAAATAAAGATACGAACAAATCTACTGCATCGGCAAACAGACCACAAAAGGGGATGAAGCTACTGAAGACCATCGACAAATCGCAAATCATAGTCAAGCAACGCGAGAAAACTATCCACGAACACAAAACACGTATCCAAATCAATCCGAGGGTCCAAAGTAGAGAAGATCAACATGATAACAAATAAGTGTCATCTTGATCAGTTGTGGCGATGTCAAATTCAACCCTGATAAAAAGATAAACAAAAAAATGGAAAAAGACCGTAAGCTACCGAAAGGTAGAGAAAAACATGCCACAAAGGTAGAGATAAATGTGTTATAAATGCATAGAACATGTCACAAAGACATTATATATATATAATCGGTTTCATCTTATACACATATATACTAATACTTATACACTTATAAGTTCTTTTTATTATCGTATACACAATATACATATATATACTAAATACTAGTTTCATCTACTTTATATATATATATATATATATATATATATATATATAATCGGTTTCAAATGTTATAGTTTCATATATATATATATTGTTGAACTATATTTTGATATAACAATTAAGGCAAAATGTTTTTGGACTTGAATTGAATTTATTCAAAGTTTAAAAAAATAATTCAAAGTCCATTTAAATTGGAATTAAGCACAAAATGATTTTATGGACAAACAGT